CATTCTTCTTTCTATCACTCTTGTTTGTTGGTTTGCCCATGAGACAAAATAGCAGATCAATTTGGCAAATCTTATGGAAGCATGATAGAGATAGGTACCATGTGCATAGACTGGAATTGTCTTAAGTGCTGGAAGATTTTACAGTGCATCTTCCAGTCAACAGTAAGTACCACGTGAGTCAAAATACTAGGTGTAGGTGTATATTTCCATATAGACAAACAATTAGCCTTATCTCAATCACAGAAGAATATCACTGAGTGGAAAAATATTATATTCTCCTTTCTCCACAGCTGTTCTGTTGGCTCCCTCATGAGGTTGCCAATTTGTGCCACCCAGGATTGAATCTTACCTTTTCTTTTCTAATTCGAAGGTTATTGAAGGGATTTAAGAGTTCTCACACTGTATTTTACCAAACTTGTCTCATTAATTGTCTGTCATGTCCAGTGGAGTATCTCTCATTTGATTTCTGCCCCATCTCACCATAAGCCATTCCCACAAATCACCACTTAGCTGATATTCACCAAAACACCAGTATCCCCATGCTCCTTTTCCAGTCATGAACAGCGTTCAACATTTCAGAGAAGGGGAAGATGGCACCACAATTCTCTGACAGGGTCCTGGTCAGCATGTTAGTGCCAGAGGACTGGCAGAGAAGGCTGTGCTAACAGACCCTGCCAGCCTGGTCTGAGGTCACCACCTGGTCAGTGCCATCTCCAGAGTGTGAAGGAATGGCTAGCAGTGCAGAAAAAAATGTCAACAACCTTGTCCGTTCCACCAGGTTAAGTGACACACTATTGTCTCTGCCATCTCACACTCATGCTCTCTGTGTCACTGCACAAGTCTAATGCGAAGGCTTATGCCCAACCACCCTCACTATTGCATGAAACACTACCTCATCTACTGTTTTCCCTCAGCCCTGTATACCACTAACCTTACCTGCCCTCTGTGCTGCCTCCTCAGTTCTTTGATACATCTCAACATCTTTCCCCAAATGCACAAGTACTAATAGATGTGCCAGCCACTGCCATCTCACTCATTCTACACCTTTTCTCATTGCTGGAGAAGAGAGTCCTAACAGAGCAAAGAGAACTTGGATTGATTGTGGGGAGTAGAGTGGGAAGGGAAGGGGAAGGGAGTGCCCAGTATTCTTAGTTTCACCCTCTACAAGGAGAAAATCTTGGCTCTTGCAGAAGAAGACCAGGACGAATCCCACAAAGATGTGGAAGTATCCACATCCTACGAAACGAGTGAGTATCATTCTGCTTATCACTGGCATTAACCTCACTATCACTCTATCATTAAACATCTCTTCTAACATCTGGCCATGATGCTTTATTTCTCTTTTGAATTGCAGGTTCCACAAGCATTCCTACAACATCTGCAGTGAAATGGTAGGTCATGGAAGGACGACCCTCCTGGATCTTTAAGGGCATAAGTACTGAAGCCTTAAAGGTAGCATCTGCATGGCTGCTGCCTGCACCCTACACTAAACCAGATACTGATACCTCAGGGGAACAGTCATGATGGAGAATGACGGTACACATGTGGTAAGCATCTTACAGTGACCGTTGTGCAGCTGGCTGATGAAGAATGCCTCAGGTCGCTGGCATTCAGAGGACTACTGGAGACCAGGAACCTGCTCAGGCCAACATGGAAGTTGGTTCTGTGGTTACAATAACCAGGGAATTTTTTTTTTAAAATGCACAGGAAGGTGCAGCAGCAGCTGACAGGTATATGGGACACAATGGCCCTCCTTGTCCAGGGGCTGTAGCAGTGCCAAAAATCGACTGAGTTGGCTTCCATGAATGGGTTGGTGGTCACGATAGAGACCCAGGCCTAAATGTAGCATCCTCTGGGGCTGCTGAAGAGGTGCACATATCTGCATTCTCAGCCCACAGTCATTGGTCCCCAAGATTGAAGGTTTGGTGACAGAACCTTGACTCAGCCCAGTAGCCCCATCCTCACAAGGAGACAGGGTGGTGCCAAGAGTCATCCAGCTAAAGGAGGAACCACACACACCGGCGTCACCAAACTTTCCATTCAGGACGCTGTATATGTTGCTGGACCCTTCAGCCCTTGGAGGTTCAGGCAAAGGAAGGTCAACTTGCCTGTGGCAAGAAGACTCTTGCTTTTTCTGACCCATCTAGACACAGGTGCATCTGGAAATCATCCAAACAAAACCCAGAGCCAACAGGCTCCACATAAAAACAGGCTCCTTCCAGCCAGTGTTCTCCTGCAGTAGCTGTGCCAGGGAGGTGCTACCCATGGGGGGGGTATTTGTTATAGAATGGCCAGATTGTAGGCAACCTACAGGCCTGTGTGCTAAACCTTTAACGCACTAGCGACCTATGGTGTTTCCCCTTTAAGAGCCCTATGAACAGAACGTGCTGTGGCCCCCTCCTTCACAGCTCGAGTCACTCATCCTACCCTTTCTGAGTGAGCACAATGGATGTTGAGAGTGAGCGATTCTCTTGGAGCTCACAGCCTCAGCCTGACCATGCTGGTGAGCCCTAATATCCATATCCCCTTCCTAGTGGCCCATGCCACAGAGAGTTCATTCTTCCACGAGCCCCTACACAGACTCTTGGCTTAAACCTACCTACCTTTTCCATCCAGGTGTCCATGCCTGGTATAGTCATTCACATTTTACCCCCATCCCAAAGTCAGGATGCTCCTGACTGTGTTCAGCACCCCTCTCTCATTATACCTTTCCCAGCCATGATGTAGAGTGTTGCCTCCTTGGAAATCCTGCTGTCCCCTTCACAATTGCACTGTGCCCTTGCCCAGAGCCTGCAGCGCCAATTCTCAAGACCAATCTGCCGGGGCTCAGTAGCTGCAATTGCACACCCATCCCCTCTACTGTCCTTCCCTCTCAAATTCTGTGAAGGGACTCAACAGACTAACCATGGCCCATCCCCTTGACCAACAGGAGCAGACATTCCCAGATCCTTGACTAATGTCACCCCGACTGCAATAGCACTACCCTCTGGACTTACTGCTATAGAGGCAATGGACTGATTGTGGCCCTCTCTCTGGACTGCAGCCTGACTGGTATCAGATGCCTGCCCTTGAGTGGTATAAGAGGCTGCCCTTGACTTGCTGTGCCAGGAGCCCCTGAACTGCTGGGTGCCTCCATGCTACTTGCCTTGAAGTTGGAAAGATTACTGTCAGCTTGCTGCATCTACTGTCTGTTTGCCTAGCACACGGTGCAAGTTTGAGATTAATATAGCACACTGTAGTTTTGCAAGATGGGCACCTCTAGACTGAGGACTGCTTAGCAGCAAGGCAAGTTGCCTTGTTGTTTGATTGTGCTAATTGGCGCAGCAAGCCAAGGCAATGCAAGGCAGAGATGCTGCAAGCATGCAGGTAGAGCATTGTGAGCAAACACTAAGAGATTGAGATGCAACCTGGTCCAGTCTGGGAATGGGGTACCAGTCCCTGTGTACAAAGTGTCCCTGCTGCAGCCTTTCAGTGCTAGTTGCTGGTATACCCTGCAATGCAAGTCTGTGCTTCCAGAGTGCATTGCCAATGTATACAAGATGTGTCTGGATGGTTGAGATAGATTCTTCGAAGGCAGATGCTTTTGTCCATGGAGGAGGAGTGCATGCAGATGGTGCCCAAGAATTGTGCCCTGGGCTTTAGCCTGATCACAGAAATGGAGGTGTCTCAGAACACGAGATGAGCTGAAGCCACCAGATCCTCTCTCTGGTTTCCTTGTTGAGTTTTGCTGATTTTGATCTTGTTTGGCAACTTCTGTAAAATGGAAGTCTGAATATTGATGAGATGAGCTATGCTGTCAACACATCGTTTAACAGTAAATAATGAGCATCAATTAACATCTCAGCCTAACGATAATCATGGCACACTATTCATGAAAAATGTATAAGATGGAATGAGATGATCTCGATGTTGAAATGGATCTCATTTCACGCCATTCTCACCCCATTCTGCTACGTATTTCAGCAACCCTTCTGCCTGGGCTGGATTTCCACCTGATTTTCAATATTTAAAATATTCCGGTATACTTGATAACAGTCAAACCTGAACCAATACTTGTACTTATTAAGGCTATTTGAACAGAATCGTAACAGAAATTGCTCGAAAAGCTGAGCAGATCTGGCAGCATTTTCAGTTTCTGTTTCTGATTTACAGCATCTGCAGTTATTTTGGTTTTTATTTGAACCGAATCATGTTTAATTTTTAATAAGTAACTTGAACAGGGCATCAGAATAATTTTAAATTTACCTAAGGAATATGAGGTGAGTATATAAAATTTTTTTTCAAATTAAACATCATAATTAGAATTTTCTCTTGACTCTGGTTAAAGCATTGCCACTGTGAATAAATTTGAGTTGGAGTTTTGAATTTGTCAGAGTTGATGCTGCAGACTAGAGCAGATGGCATTATACAAGTATCACATCATGTAACCCAACAATGATTTCATGAAGCTGTATTAAAGAAAACATGCCAGAAGGTCCCAGATTTTGATTCCCAGTCTCTGCTAAATTGGCTAATCTCTGGCAGCACAGCAATTGGACTTTGCAAATAGTTTAAGCATCTCTAAGTTAGAAGGGGCAAGGTCATCTAAGATTTTCATTCTTAATGACTCCTCAGTGGCCATTTCTGGAAATTGTACTTTTGGATGTTGGATCAGTACAAGATCTGATAAAACTATGATAGCCCCTAAGATTACATACCAGCCCTTTGTCATTGTCTTGGGACTCATATGTGAAAAGTGGCCACCTGGTGACTCATTGCATTGCTGTTTCTGTTCATAGATTTAATATATGTCACTGTTCAAAAGAGGAATTGAGAAAAGGATGTATATTTGGTCAAAAAATTTGCATATATCATTAATTACAGAGGATAAGCCTATTGGTTATTAGTTTGAAGGTAAGTATGAATTTTTAATGAGTATAACTGTGAATGGAGCTGCTGAGCATCTGAATCAGGGATTTGTGAATTAAGCAATATCTTCATTCCTTTCCTTTCTCTTTTAGACAGGGAAGCTTCTGGGAGAAGTGGATGGGTCAGTGATGACGCAGCTGCTGAACATGGGGCTGTTCACTGAGTAAGATATTGTTTGCTCACATTTTTTTGCAGTGATCAATATTTAAGTGTGTGCCAGCTGGGATTTGGGGTTTCAGTCAACAAATAATTTTCTGGAAGACAAAATCAGAATTCTGAGAAAAGATGCTACTTTCTTTGGTATGTTTGCTTTTCATGTTTTTTCTTTTGGATATGGTGGTATTCAACGGGACACAGATCTCTCTATTGAAAAATTACTCCAAGTTGCAAAACTCTTTGCACTGAATTTTATCTTGTTCTCTCATTGTGTAAGATTGAAGTCAAGTTTGCCCATCTTGGCCAGAACAGCCCTCAGCAAATGTAAGACCATTGATTGCCTTGCGACAAGATTTCCACCTCCATTCCACCATCGTACAGCTTTAGCCCTTCTTGGAGAACCGCCAACAATTAAATAGTCACCTGCTCTCTGGTCCCAACAATGTCATTGGAGGCAGTAGCCACTGTACCACCTGTAATATGAGCCAGGAGGAAATATGTTGCAGTGGAGTTCCTCACTGAGGGAGAAGGGGACAAGGGAGTTGGGGGCTAAGGTGGAGGAGCAGAAACATGGGTGGAATACCTTGAGGGAGGGATCTGATTGACACATATCCCAAAGAGTAGGCTTCCCCTTTGCCTGGCCATCAGGAAACTTGGCAGACAGGTAAAATGTCATATCACTGAGAGCCATGAGTGAACTGGTGAAATTGCAACAATATGGGTAGGCACCAAAAGCTAGTATGTCATTCAATTTTACAACACACTCACCCCCACCCCCGCCAACTCCTGAAGCCAGCTTAACCTCAAGGCTGAGAGGCAGGCCGTAAAATTCCAAGCTGTGACCTTTTACTGGAACTTAATTCCATCAAGCATGTCTGAAACTGTTATGATCTTGTTTTTCAGCTGGAAACTAACATTGCTAGATCCCTTATTCATTCTGGAAATCAGCAATTGTATTCTAGTAATGGACCTCTAAGCTAAGCAAAATGGAGAAATAGTTGTATCATGTTTAATATCAGCTTAGAGAATCAATCTTTCAGCAATTGATTGTGTAGATGTTGGTAATCTTACAAATTAATTTTTCACTCAACTGCCATTGCATTGTCGACTTTAAAGAGATACATCTCAGCACAAAGTTTATACGACCCACATGACAGAAAATACATTGCATAATGTATTTCTGATATTTGTATGTGCTTGGAATTCACCCAGTTCCTCCATAACATTGGTAGAAGGATAGGGATTTGAAACACTTTGCTCTTCCACAGGGTATAATGATCACATTTACCTACACCTTCAGTAACCAGGACACAGAATTCTCCAGAGCCAAATGTGTCAGTTTTGAACTTCATAGCTGGGATTTGCAACTACTAATCCTCTGCAGAATTGATCTCACTGAATCTATATAGCTAGCTCTTTTGAATGTTGATTCATAGAAATTGTGTGTAACATGGGAATAATAGGCCAGTCAGCTTGGAAATTAACAGGATTGTCTGGAGAGAGAGAGAGAGAGAGACCATAGAGTGCCACACCTCACAAGGTGGCAAGGAACTTTCAAATGAATCGACTTAGAAAAGAAGAAATGCGTTATAAACTAAACTGTGATCTCCTGGGAGTCATTAGTTCAAAGCAAAACTATGAATCTGAAAATCAACTGGTTGACTATTAACATTTTACTATCTATCCTTAATGAACAATTGGAGACTGAATCACAGATCTTCTAACTTCTATCTCTTTTCACTCATTTCTCATTTCTAATCTGTGAGTGTTGCATTGTTATTTCTCTTCACATTTGGTAACCAATAAACCCACTCTTTCATCACCTCAAGAAAGCCTGCTCAAAATGGTACCTTTTAAAATATAAATTCTTTTGGTAAGAGAAAGGTATCCACAAGAGAAGGAATCCTTTCTAAATGAACTTGTTGCAACCAGTCAAAGGGGCAGGTGAATAAAGGTGAGGCAGTTCAACCCTCCTTATCAAGGAGCTTGACAATTTGGAAATTACATCTGGAACCATAATAACTTGAAAACCTCACTCAGGGTCTGGCAGTTACAAATGTTTGATTTTGTGGCATTTTTAAAACATGTCCAAATTGAAGTAACTGGCAGAATCACGTAAAGGCAAAAGGAGGCAGAGAATAACTATTCAGAATTTTACAGAGCATGATGCACAGACAACCCGACTGAAATACAACTATAAAAGACAAGATAGATTGCTATCCGTAATTGATTGAACTACATCCCACACCTGCCCCCCCCATGCCCTTTGGTACGACTCTACTACTGACCTTGTTCCTGTCTTTAGGCTTCGTACTGCACCTAAATTCACCCTTCTGCTATCTCTACAAAAGTGTTGGTGAGCAATGTTAATAGAAGTGAGCAATGGTTTTTAAGTTATTTTAATTTTGCTTATTACAGTATTTGCTTTTATTTGCATTTACATTTTTCCTGTATCCTAAAAGAGGAGGAAGTGATTTATTATGGGAAAGCAAATGTAGCCAGAAGTATGACAAAAGCACCTTTAAAGGTATCAAACAGATGGCGCAGTAGTCTAAAACAAATGTAATCTTGACAGATTTTACTGTTACTTGCCACTGATAGCATCCTGGAATTCATTAAGCACTTCTGTAAGTTTAGTCTGACAGATTTCACTAAAATTTGTCACTAAACTTCCTCAAACAGACTTTACCAATAGCAATACAAAGGCAGAATACTGTGGACTGCTGGAATTCTGAAATAAAAATACAACACGTTGAAAATATTCAGTAGGCCTGGCAACAATTGTGGAGACAGAGACAGAGACAGAGTTAACATTTCTAGTGGATAATTATTGACCTGAAACCTTTGGTGGAATTCTATCAACCCTGAATTTTTCTAGCTCTGGGACAAAATCAGTCCCTGACCTCAGTGATGTTGGCTAACCACATAATAATGTGATCTTCTGCAATGGGGCCAGTCAAGAGGCCACTTGTGTGTTTGTTGGCGAAGTAAGGACAATGGGCAAGAGACCCAAAGTGGAAAGGTCAAACAATAGGATCAAAAATTTGAACTGCTTACAAAGGATGCATGCTACTGCTAGATGTCCAAGATGGCGAGGTCATTTCAAGATGGAGATACTCTCTAATGACTTGCGTAAATTTAAAAGACATGGCCACACCTGTCAGGTCATCATTGTGGAGGTTTGGTTCCTCAAAAGTATTCCAGCATCCGAGCAAAATTGCCAGAGGCAGATTTAACACATCTACTGCTGCCTGCCCTGCAGCAGCAAGTAGTCATTTACACCACTTCTAAAATTAATTGAGAGTAAGTTGGTTGAAAGCTTTGATAGTTCCCTGGCCTGCCTTCAGGTAAGGGCAGACTTCTGGAAAATCCCAATGGCAAGAACAATTTGCTTTTGATTCATTCCTAAAGTTGCCTAACTGAGTGCTGCTGTATGGCAGGTAGCCATAGCCTCATCTGGTACGTTTGCATAAAGGTGGGGCCAAGTCGGGAAATCAACTCCATGTGTTGCCATCAAGTTTTTACCCCTATCGTTTGCCAGACTAGAAAGAATCTGCCCATTATTCTGCTTCTCTCTCAACACTCTGACCTTTTGATAATTTTCAGCATTGTTTTTGGTTTTATTTCACTTTCAGCAGGCTGTTAGCAGTACTGCCTAGACAATTATCACAGTGGTCTTTTGTAAGTCTCCGCCTATAATGTTTCAGGTTTCTCTGCAAGCTTTGACAAAATTAGCACTATTTTGTTGTTTTGAACTGTATGCAAATAAGTAACCCTGTTCTTATTTCTAATCTTAGGGTGAAACTTTATGATTACCAAGCTATGTGCAAAGGGGCCACCAATCACCACAGTGGATCACAGCCTATGCTCAGTGTGAGTATCTATCCCATAATGACATTGTTGTGCTTAATTTAACACTCTTGATTGTTGTGCTATATTCATAAAGATTGTAAAAGTATGTGTCACCGGTTACCAATACAAATGCAACAACTGAACGAGCAAAATTATCTCTTATTTACCAAAGATCATAAATGCATTGCTTGTTCCATCAGAATTAGGATGGCAGAATAAACACCTTCTAATGCTACCATAAGCAATTTTATTTAATAAACAACTGGGCTGTTTACTCACTGCAAAAGGGAAGTCCAGTTTGGGTGTGGGACTTATTTACAGAATGCTTCTGTTTTTGATGTCAATCTATTAAGAGCATTAATCTATTGATGGCATCCCTGCAACAGAAATTGATGGCACCACGAAGGATGAGCATTGCAAAAATTTAATTATGAGGTTATTTGGCCTGTCATGTCTGTGCTGGCCCTCTTAAGGAGCAATTTACCTAGTTCAACAAATAAACTGACCGACAAAAGGGTTTTGGTATTCTTGACACCTGGATTCTGAAGTAATTCAAGAGCCTACAGTATCCACACAGTGATCAATGCACTTTGAACAAAGTGGGTGTATGAATTATGTTTTCCAATTGATCCAGTGTAATTTTGCATCCTCTGTGCTAAGCTCAGCTCTTTACGGTGAACTCAATGGCACTTCCCAAGAGCTTATGAAATAGGACTAGGATAAGGCCATCAGGCCTCAGAGCTTGTTCCACCAATCGGCATCATAATTGGAATTTGACATCAACTTCATTTTGCCAGGTTAACATTTTATTCTCTTAATTTCTTTAGTGTCAAAAAAATGTCAAAAACTTCAATTTTAAATAAATTTTGTAACTGAGCATCCACAGGTAGAGAATTCAAAAGTTGCACAAACTCCTGAGAAAAGAAATTCCTCCTAATGTCAGTCTTAAATGGCCAAGCTCTTGTCCTGCCTTTGGTTCTAGATTCTTCATCTGGGGTCAAAGACCTCTTGACTCTAATCTTTAAAGCCCTCTAAGATTGTTATACATTTCAATAAGGTCACTTCTCACTTTTCTAATCTCTAGAAAATAAAGGTCTGTTCTACCAACTTCTTATAGGACAACCATCTCAACCCAGGAATCAGTTTAGTGAACCTCTGTATCTCTCTCTCTCTCTTTCTCTCTCTCTTTTTTCTTGGGTAAACAATCCAAAACTATACACTGGTGTGTTCTTCCCAAAGCCCTGTATAATTGCAGAAGACTTCCTAATATCTTGCAATTCCTTCAAGTTAAAGACCAACATACTGTTTGCTTTTCTAATCGTTTGTGCTATATGCATGTGTACTCCCTGTAATTTGTGTGCAAGGAAAACCAAATCCCTTTGAGCTAAAATTTGTCAGTCTCTTACCTTTTCCAAAATATTCTGTTTTTCCATTCCTCTGACTAAAGTGAATAACTTCACACTTTGTCATATCATCTCCATCTGCCACCTTTATTCCCAATCACTAAATGTCTTTACAATCCCTTTATATTTGCTGTACAGCCTACTTTCCCACCTAACCTTGTCAGCAAAATTCAAATTCACAACCCAGTAAGTGAAGATAATTCTAAATTTATCCCAAAATTGGTTCTAGGATCTCCAACCAGTGAATATTTAATTTACTGTAAATATTGCAAATAGTTAATAATTCTTTCATGTGTACTTTGTTTGGGATAAAGCCAAGAGCATGGTGGAGTAGAAGCCAAAACAAATAACCTCCAGTCTTTCTGAATAACTTATAAGGTCCAAGACTCTAGACTACAGCAATCAATGCAAGACTCCTTTCCTGGAGTAAATTAGATTTTATAGATTCACCCATTCCTGGCAGGTTAGTTGTGTTTTGAAGGTTTCTAAACCAGTTATTAGAATAAAGTCAGTGTTCCCGACTTCTGGGGCATTTGCTATAGTAACTTTTGAGAACTGGGAGTTACAGTCAACATAACTTCTCTGCTGTGCATAAGGTATTAACTATTATTTCATTCACTTTCAGATACAGTCTCAAATAATCCTCACATAAAACAATTAAAGAAGTATTTCATCATAGTGTGACTTTGTACCAACAGAAGTAAATTAAGTTTAATCTCCTAGCTTTATCCAAAGTAGTTTTACAGCTAAGGTATTTTACAGACTGAGGTATTTTTTAGTAGTATCTAATTTCTTTTTTGATTCTTTCTTTAGCCTTTCTACGTTATTTTGGCTGCTCTAAAATGGTTCCTGAGCAATTTATTCATGTACGTACTCATTATTCTCAAACTTGTTATGATACATGCTTCAGAAGATGTTATGTATTCCACTTTGTATAAAGCCATCAAAGTTACCTTTCGTAGTTTGAAAGAGGTACTGCTTTCATGGAATACTATTTATTAATTAGTTGTTAAACTTGTTTTCAAAAAAAGCACAGAAGTGTAAACTCTGTTGAGGTCTATTGCAACTTCTGTGGCAGGAGAGTAACCAAAAGTCTCTCGCATCACTTGCAACTGCTACATGATCCATCATTTACCGATTCTTTGTTTGGTATATCGACAAGCAGAATAGCATTGTTTTATGACCCTTTTGTATTACCAATAAACAAAAAGCAACTCCTACACAATTTTGACAAGCTACGTTTCTAATTTTTCCAAATGGCTACATGCAGCAAATCCATAGAGATAACAAGTGAAAACTTACAGTGCTGACTTGCATTCAGGGAGTGGCCGAGGGAAAATGGCAGTGAGCACCAGCATTTTGCTGCGAAAGAGGCTATGAAACCAATTTTGTATTTTTCACTCTTACAGTGATAGAAATGCAATCTCACTTGTGCAACTTGGCTGAAGCTGTCATCAACATTAACAATGTTTTTTCAAGAATAAAACTCTTTTGATGGCAATATTCCCCTGTCCTAAAAGCTGTTGTGTGTTGCATCGGAAGCATTGACTCTAAACCTCTATTAGCCTTGATAAGAGTAAAAGCTTTTTTACCTAAGAAAAAGCAAGAATTGCTACCTTTGATATTAAGACAGCACTTGAATGAGCATAGGGTCAGAGAGGTCATTACTCTTCTAAGAAGGTACATTTCCAGTCAATTTTTCATTCATTCCCACTATTTCCCTGAGTTTACGCAGGGGCTTGAGATGAAATTCTCACTAGTGGGTTGCAAGTGATTTTTAACATGGACCATCACTCATTACCATCCATATTACTATCTAATCTTCTCCTGCTCACCCAGATAGAAACGAAGAGCTGAGAATTCCTGACAGAAAAGTCTTAGCAGGTATCTGGCAACTGCACCTCACCACTTTGGTCCTGTACCACAGACACTCAGCAACAACATTGCAGGGCACACTCCCGGGTAGCAGCCACTCACACCATGTTCATGGACATTGGCATTGACCAGTACCAGCCTCACCACATCTCTCATGGCATATACCGTACTTACAGTACACTTCTGCACATTATTATTGCACTTTGGAACGCATCAGCATCTCCCACTGGATTGTGACTGCAAGGACACTTTACACATAGGGGCAGGTAATCAGCCCATGGGCTGGACCAGGGAGCATCTCAGGGCTGCTCGCTTGTACTCTTTGCATCTATCTGAATGTCCCCGACATCCCTGCCGTGCCTTGCCTTTTTGTACTTGGCCACTCGGCTTAGATCTTAAAGGATAAGAGTGTTTCTGTATAGGTTTGCTGCAGGAATGAAGGCTGCAGCTTGTCATGGTTGTCAGCAGCGATCAGTCAGCATAGTGCAATGTCAATCTCATATCTGCACTGTGTGCCAGTCATGTACGCGGCCAACATGCTGCATGTGCATTTACTGAGTGGCCATCTCTCAAAGTCTAAGGAAATTAGTCCTCAGACAAGATCAGGAGATGCCCTTCAGTCAGGGAGTCCCAGTATAGAAAGTCAAGGACAGCCTCCTGTATCAGTCGGGGCAGGACAGTTAGGGGGCCCACACATCTTCAGTCCAGAGAATGGGTAACAGTCAGCCTTGTCCATCCATTAAAATCAATCCAGGGAGTTGAGGGAACACAGTCAGGGAGAGTATAGATACCAGTCAGAAGCTTGATTCCTTATTGTTCGGGGCTGTTTGGCTAAGTCACTGTAGGAGCTGGGCCACAGTAAGTCTCTGGAGTGTGTCCACTAAAATTCAAGGGCAGGGGCAGTTATCAGAGTCCAGTGCTGCAGGAGACAGGGTGGAGAAATCAATTGTGGGAATTGGAGTGAGAATACTTGAATATAGAGGGTATTACATTACTGAAAAGAAGTAATTCAATATATAAATGGAAGGAGACAATAGAGCATGGTTGGGAAAGAACTAATGTGGGAAGGGTGTCATTGACTGCAAGCTGTACCCTGGCTTCCATGAAGGGACAGTGTTCTAGTAGATCTAGTGTGTTTGCTTGATATGCCTGGGGCTTTGGGGTACGATGTGGGAAGATGCAGAAATAACAAGGTGTAGAGCTGGATGAACACAGCAGGCCAAGCAGCATCAGAGGAGCAGGAAAGCTGACATTTCGGGCCTAGACCCTTCTTCAGAAATGAGATGAAGAAAATGAGATGAGATGAGAAAAAGATGAAGACTTAGGTAGCTGAAAACCGAAAGAACCACAGATGCTGTAAATCAGGAACAAAAACAAAGTTGCTGGAGAAGATCACCAGGTCTGGCAGCATCTGTGAAGGAAAAAACAGAGTTAACGTTTCGGGTACGGTGACCCTTCCTCAGAACCGGGTACTTAGGTAGATGAGTTGGCTGGCGATTTGGCAAAGTGCCAAGCTTATGGGATGAACAGGGAAGGCTACCAGGAAAAGGATATTTACATTTAGGGGTTCACCAAAACAGATAGGCCAAGCCTGACACCCACTTTTCAATAAGTCGCCACTGTTGCTTTCCATTGTGTTATAAGTAACAACTGCACAATGGTGCTGAAAATGGCTGCAACCACACCCAGGCTGAATAGGGTAAATTCTTTGTTCTTTGAGGGAGGGGACCTTCCCTTTTGAGCAATGTAAGACCCGTCAAAGGGCAACAGCATAACACAGACATCCATACATTGAAGCTAAACACCCACAAGCACTAAAAGAAAATAAAGAGCTGCAGATGCTGGAGATCTGAAACAAAAATAGAAATTGGTGAAACTGAACAGGTCTGGCAGCATCCATGGGAAGAAAGTATGGTTAATGTTTCGAATCCAGTGACTCTTCATTAGAACCTGAAAGCACTACATGCTTTGTGAATCTTGGGTATGAGCCTACTGTGAGCTGTCCAAATCTATGCCCCAATCACTCGTGACCATAGCATGCAAGTAACAAATTCATTCCACTAATGCTTGTGACACCGTAGCAATTTTTTCTTATCTGGAAAGATAGCGCATAGTTGTTCAAGTAACAGTCACATGCAATTTACCTATTGCCTGCATATGATGCAGGAGCTGCTCACACTTCACACCTTCGTCTATGGAGAATCAAGTTATGCTAAGGATGGGTGGGCTCCATATCTATATTGTTATAGTTACAGAGACTTGTACACACAGATGATGGTGAAAAGAGAACATTTGTGATAATGTATTTACAATGACATGTCACCCATGCCACCTATCTGTCCTCAGAAACTTTTCTCCTTTCTTTCCTTCCTTGTCAATGACCTTATTAACAGCAAATCTCACCTCATTAATATGGAGCTTCCTATCCTACCATCCACCACGAGTAAACTAGATTTCGAGAATTCTCAACATGGAAGTCAGAGAGGGTACACCACCAGCCCCAAAGGACATTGGGTAGCAACACCACAGGGAACACTCCATAGGCACTAACCAACGCATCTCACATCCACAAAATTGGCATCCAACATGTGCAGCTTCTAAGAATCCTCATGGCGTATCTTTGACTCAGTTAGAGGACTTCAGTGTTGCACCTCAAGGCATGATGACGACCATCATTGCAATGCTACAGCAGGTCACTTTGTGCTTAGGATATGCATCCAACTTACAGACTGAACCAGGTTCTATTTCCATGTCATTTGCTTGCTGTTCAACATTCACTCACTTCGAGCCTACCTGGATGCTCGCAGCATCCCTTATTTGCCTTGCCTTTTTGCAACTTCCCAACAGCCAATGACACCAGGCTCTCAGTATGGCTGTATCACCATCCTGTTTAGCACAGACACAAAGCCAGGAAACTTGTCATGATTGTCAGCAGACTTCAGTCAAGGGAGAGACAGGTTCTGATACAAATTCAGGGGTTTCGACCAGTCAGTCAGCCACTCGGGACAGTCAGAGTAAGGATCGTCTCCACGTAAAGAGTAAGGCGCTGAATGTTAGGCAGTCCACCACCCATCTTGACTCTTTCTGCCCTTCTGGGGGCTCTTGACCTCCAGGAATGAGAGAGGGGCAGATATTAAGGGAAATAGAGGTGCATAGCACAGCTATTATGGTTGGTGCAGGTGCAAGTGAGAAGGCAGTTCGGGGTGTGCAGGGTTAGTGGTTTAGGGATTTGGCATTGATGAGAGCAAGTGAGGGAAGATGTTTCATGTGATAGTGAGAAAGGTAGAGCATGAGCCTTTGCTGAGGTAACTGCGGTAACAAAGATAGAGTAAATATGAGGTAACAGAGAAAAGCTGGTGGCATTTTCATTGATGGAGTAGAGATCATCTTTAACCTTCTTCCTACAGTGATGAGCACTCCTTCAGACAGATTAAGACTGTTGACCCACGTGGCAACCTCTGTTGAGGCTGGCACAGTCTGGTGTTGTGGACTTCACTGCTAATTCTGGGGAAAGAGGACATTCTACCCATCCATCAAGATTTCTAGACACTGCCCACAAAGCAGGACACTAATGCTCTCCTCTCTGCCATATCTGGAAAAAATATCAGGAGCTGTGCAGGGCAGCTTCCAGCTAGAAGTGCTTGTCTGGGTGCACAACTGCCATTTAAAGGCAGCATCAGTGCCAAGGACATCTGACTAATCTGGAATATCCCGGTAGTGGCTAGTTGTTCTGGTTCTTGCAGAATGGGGCTAGAATTGGATAAGAGGGATGCTATAATGGCCGGATGGGTAGTTAATAAGGTGATTTTGATAATATATGGCAAGGAACTCTCTAGACCTCACAGAGAGAAACCCCCCATGAAAATGACAAAATTGACACTTTGCAAAAGAAAGTAAGATACAGCCCAAATCTCTGAATTTTGCCTTTGTATTTGATTTTGTAGATTGGAGTTTGGGGTTCTGGTTAAGGAATGCCATGCTGTTTGCATCT